AGCTAGGGACACCAAAAGATAAGGGGAAAAAAGTTGAGGCGGTACAGAAGTTGTTGAATCTACGGATGAACGGTAAGCGAGGCATTAGCATATCAGATCTGAAGAAAACTCTTCAGATTTGTGATGCTTACGGCGTGAACAAGGAGACAAGTGGGCTGATTTTGGCAGCATACACGTTGTTGTCTTGCTCAACTTTAGTATCCCCACGTCCACCGAACGCAAATGTGCCAGATGAGCTGCTCGCTTGCGTGGCAAAACCAAAAGAAATATGTGAGTATGACTGGGCTGGGTACATAATAGACGTCCTGTGATCAAGCGCTGATAAATACCAACAGGAACTGAACCAGGGTACTACTGTTTCACCCCAGGGGGTTCACATCTCTTCATTCAGGTACGTTGGATGTTAACTGAGGTCATGAAATTTTTAAGACATGTATGCTGCTTTGCGAGTACTAATCCATCTGACTCTCATTTTGCAGCTTTACTACCTGGAGTGGGTGGATTTTGGTGTCCACAGTATGTCGACGGAGTTGGTTCCCAAAATTGGTGCGTACACCTCTGAAAAAATGAATGAGTTGATCAAGATGGACATTGAGGACAGAGGACACCCAATCCCTTTGTTGAAGGTATTTCCTTATCTCTGTAGGCCACATGTCAAAAATGCAATTTTTGAGATGACATAGTTGTTCAGCGTGGATAAAAAACATTAATTCTAACAAAGTGTGAAATGGTTTTCCTGCAGACAAGATCAGAGGACAGCATGAGGCATAGGGGGGAAATCCAGCATCCTGTAATTGCTAGCTTTGCTACCTTAGCAGAGGTGTGTTGCATGATGTGAGGATAGTACACCATTTAATTGACATTCAACACTAATATGTTGCTCTTTGTGCAGAGGAAAACTGGGGTTGGAGGAATACTTGATCAAGAGGTGGTGGATAAGTTCAAGAATATAATTTTGCAACTCGCAACTGAACTGAGCGGATCAGAAGGCGGAAAAAAACTTGGTGACAACAGGAAGACATCGCTAGTGGATGAAGCTCTGCTAACGGTGGAGGGCATGAAGTCAAACATACTTGAGCTACTACTAAAGGAGATGGGATATGTAAATATGACAGAAAATGAGAAGGCATGCAAGTTGCCTAATAAATTTGGAAGCATTTGAAATTAATTTGCATTCATACCATGTGTCACATTTGGTTACTAATTGTGCATGTACAAACTATTTCCTGGATCTGTAGATGAAATGCATCATGTGGAAGTGGCTCCCCAAAGTGACGGTTCTGCAACGGGGGCGTAGACGGGGGCAACCAGGGTGCTCGAGCCATGTGGTGTAGCGGATGACGGTGCAGCAGTTTCATACGGGACAAACTCAGAAGATGCGGCATTATCACTTATCCGACTGAGAGATGAGACGCTGAAAACGGGGACGGAGCCTGAGGATGCAGACAATGATGGAGAATCGCCTCCTGCGGTGGAACACCATACATCAGGTCAGTAGAGAAATAAAACAAAAAACAGAGTAATACATACAAAATGAAAACAAAAATGAATTGTGTGTGCCTGATATCATTTTGAATATTCAGAGAGCTATGGATTGGTGACGGCAAGTGATTTCATGTCAAATGCAAGGATGGAAGAGGACATTGCTGAAATCAGAGGTAAACTGTAAGAAGAAGCATCGCATGGTAGTGCAGGGTCACTACTGCTGGGAAATTGGTCGAAATAACTATAATTGTTGATCTGGCAGATCGAGGGGACAATGTATCTGCAGTAGATAAAAGTCAAGACGTAGGGCACAAGGAGATGAAGGGAGGAAAGAAAATGGCGGCCTTGCTGAAGAGATTAGAACCTAGGCGACCAAAAAGAAAGTGCGCTTTGTCTCAGAGATAGCTGACATAATCCCCCACATAGCGGACTTGGACAACGAAGCTGAAGGTGAGTCGGCAAAGTTTTGTTTTTTAAATTCCTGCATTTTGGTACATCGATTCATTAGTATGAAGTGCTTCACTCAGGAACAGGGGGCATGGCCCATATGGTGGTGAACCAAGAAGATGCTACATGTCAAGATGAAGAGATGGGACAAGGTGGAGATCAAGTAGCCGGTCCAGGTGCGACTGACTGTAAGGCCCTTATGGTGGTGAAGCAAGAAGATGCTACATGTCAAGATGAAGAGGTGGGACAAGATGGAGAGCAAGAAGCCAGTTCGGGTTTGACTTACTATAAGGCATCACTTCCAGCATCAGAGGGAGGTGGCGTGGTGCTGGCTTTGCCATTTTGTGAGGACGGGCCAGTTCAGGAATTGGAGAACTATGCTGAAGCTGCAGTCCATGGGATTTCCTCTGTGGGTAAAAATACATGCGACACCCAAACAACAAGAGCTGAAGATGTTTGTTCAACAGGTATTTTTGAGCTAGTAAACTAATTTTTTGCTGGTGAGGTTAGACAACGGCTAATTGATTGGAAAATGTTTTCTGATGCAGCAATGTTAGTTGGTTTCCTCCACAGCTCCGAAGCTAATTTGGCTATCCCGGAGAAGGGAGCAGGTAAAATGAAGTGCTTAGATAGGAGGGTGGAAAGACATTTGTGTATTTCAAACTTTGATCTGAACATCATGC